ACCTATTATTACTCTGATTGAGCTAAGACAGATCTATTTCTAGCCACTGAAGAGAAACCGGCTATATAGCATGTTACCACAACTTGACACGGTTCAAACTATCGACACAATTCGTCACACATCCTCGAACCAATTTCTGGATGATTATGAAGCATGACCTGGGGCGTGAACCTTTCGAGTTCATCTCTCATGCTACATCAGTATTTGTTTCCTTAGGGACAACCAAACCAATTAGGCAAAGAGACGGATTCGGAGGAATAGATAACATCGAGCATGTTTCAGAAGAGTATGGAAGAATAAAGAGTAGTCTGGCCCACATGGCCTTTGCAGCCGGTATTTTGATTACTCCTGCACAGTCTCGTTGTTTCAAGTACGAAATGAAATCCTGAAACTGCACAACAGAAATGCAAAAATTCAATAGCGTGACAGCTAGCGAAAAAGAAAAAAGAAAAAAGAAAAAAGGCCTTATTAGTTTTTCGGAACCGAATTTGAATAGAGGTGCATTTGAACAAATCCAACAATATTACTGGTTTCGACTTTATCGTGGAGACGAGATACGCCTACCGACATGGAATACTGAATAATTTTCTAGAAGCTGGGTACCATTCAAATACTTGAGGAAATAAGAGAAATAAATCATGAAATATGATGCACAAAGCAAAAAATATAGTTGCAGGTTCAACTTACACCCTTCTGATCATCATGAGACGAAGGAAGCAGCCAACAGATCTCCCTCTATCACATTCAAGAGATAGAATCGTTAGATGAGTCAGCAAATTCTAAATAAACATGATCCTGTTAAATATAACTAGTCAACAAACTTTGTGCTCTGTCACAAAATTGACCAAAAGCAACTACACAAATTCCAAAAAGCACATATTTGAGGTAAGGTCAAATTCACTTGACAATGGAGCTTTTCAGATGTGTTCAGGTTTGAATACGGAATAGAGCTAAAGTTAGAAGGATAGGCAATCTGTTTGTGCCACCTTTTCATGAGAAAAAATCAGCTACACAAGACAGCAGTGGACTGGCAGGTACTCAACGCGAATGTAAACAGTAATAGAGCCATTTATGCTATTCATAAGGTGTGAATCAAGTGGCAGAAATGATTGTTTGGGTGCGCCCTAATTAGTACTGCTGATACTTAGATTTTAAACTGAAAAATGAGGATCCAAAATTCGGAGTTTCGAAAGAATAACAAAAGAACTCTAGCTTTATTACAATAACAAAAAAATCGTGATTTTGGATAGGCAGACAATTACATAAAACCTTCTCGCACATATAGTGAGAAGCCATTATAACCAAACAACTATGAACTGGAATAATCTACTATTCCAAATTTTCTAAATCTCCTGATGACTGCAGGCGAGTGATATTCCTATTTTTACTAGTGAGATGTTTTGGCCAAGGGTAATTTTAATATGCCGTACGTGAATAGCAATTGAATCAGATAACTGTCAACACATGAGAATCCAAAAAAGAGAACTTCACGTAATTCAAGGGGAAACAATATTTCTAAAGTCCAAATAGCATCCATTAAAAGCAGTGGTTTCTGAAAGGCATATTATTTTTTAATATCATAACCCCAGTGACTTCTAAAAAGAAAATAAATAGTTTCCATCACATAATGTTACAAGACAAAATAAAAGAGGTTATATTATTATCACAGCAATTACCAAACAATTCGTTACTGCATATACTGCACATACAACACTATTCATATATATAATAAAAAATCACTAAACCCAGAGGCAATTCTGAAACTTGTTGACATAAAAATGGTTCTTTTAAAGAAGAAAAATTTGTTAGGTTTAAATTTATTCATCATTTGTTCCCACATTTTGTTTGCAGGACAGATTGTTCCTGCAATTAAGAGAAGTAAACTGGACATTCTTTGACACCGAAAAGTAAGAGAAAAGTTTACCTATCAAAACCTGAAAAACAGTGCAACTGGCAGATACTCACGGAATCAGTACACCCTCTCATATACCCACTCACATGCACATGCACATGCACATGCACATGCACACACACACACACCCACCACACAGTGAACAAAATATATCTCTAGGAACTCACTCTGTGAGGTGGAGTACTGGAAAATGTTGATTTCACATGTCGGAGATCAGTGCGCTTTGTCATATCTAACTTAGCAGGCCATCTGCACATTCAATGAAAAAATAAAAATAAAAAATAAAAAATAAAAAACGTTTTTTTTTTGCAATTAATCAGTACAGTATCAAGATCAAAGTAAGACTCCTCACTCTGCAGGCTCAGAAACAGCAGTTAAATAGTTGCAAATATCCGAGTCCACTCTCTGTGCACGTATTGTACAATAGTGAACGCTACTTTTACTCAGTACCCCTTGCCAAGGATAGTCCTGGGATGGCCCAGAACCCTCTGCCACATCAGCTACAGATGGCGGAGGTGGTGGAGGAGAAGCCGGAGGCGGAGGAATAGCAGGAGGCTGAGCATGGGGGGGTGGTGGTGGTGGAGGTGGTGGCTGCAGCTCGGGATAAGGCGGCAGTGGCGGCCGGAAATCCGACTGAGGAGGTGGTGGAGGGACCACATTTAGTGGGGGTAGGGGTAAAGATGATAAGGAAGGGGGAACAACTGGCTGAGAGAAGGCAGGATTGTATGGTGCCATAGAATTTGCATGGATCTGTGACAGTGGAGTCACAGAAGCAGGTACAAATGGTGTGCCCTGTGGATTAGCGTGAGGATTAGAGGTCATTACAGAGGGTGGAATTGGATTTGGAGGCGGATGATGACCCAGTCCACGTGCATCCCACCTATTTGAAGGTTCATAAACAGGTCCTGTAAATGGAGATGGTTGAACCAGCTGACGTGGCGTAAATGGACCCGGATTTCCTCCCTGGTGCATCCCACTTTCAGGATTCCCATACATCCATGATTGTTCAGGAATTCCTCCTCCACCTGCCCAAGTTGGTTGGTATCTATGTGTGTTTTGCATGACAGGTCCAGTATTTCCTTGACTCATTCTTGGCGATGTAAGCTCCATGGAAATGGTGTCGGGTCTCAGTGAGGGAGAAGTGATGTGGTGCTGTGCTGTGTTACTGATCATTAATCAGAAACAAACAAAAAGGTGCAACAATTAAGCAAAAATGGCATAATTGAACATACAAAGACAGGAATGAGAAAAACTGAACAGGAAGCAAGTTGATCGAAACACTAATTGAGTTCGACAAATCAAATGAAAAAAGGATGCACGCTGTGGAATTAGCAAAAGAAAAAAAGAATATGAAACCTGTATTCTATTTGGAAGAAATTGCCAGGACAGTCTCGTATATTCCTCAATAGAGTGTTTGCTGTATCTCTACTGCTGCATTCGACAAGCCAATACGAAGCTGTAGGCATGCTAGTTCTACTCAAGCGGGCAATGGATCCAGTGTTAATTATTGCAAGGTTGCAAACGGTTAGCAACTCATCATCAGTGATACCTAAGTCAATTTTATTTGGAACGCTAATCCAAAGTGCGTTTGTTGGCACCCATGCTTGTTCTCGCATGGAAGAACCAGGTGAATGATTCTCCAGAAAACCTTGATGAGCAATGTTATATTTTGCACGTAACTGTTCAAGCAAAGACGACAACCTTGTCACGATACTCTCAGGAGGCTTCTCCAGCATATTATGAGCCGGAGGTGATCCAATCAAGTTGTTAGAAAGGTAATTGTTTCTCATATCTACATTAACTGAAGCTGGAGCAGGTTGCGCACAGTCTCCATGAATTGGGCCTTTGTTAGAAGGTGGACAGAGGCTACTATGTTCTTTGCGGTACCACCTTAGATGACCTATCAACATGGTAGCTTCTTCAGGCGAATCAAATTCCAACAATAATGCACCCTCACTGCCCAGATCAAAAACCATGCGAGGGCTCTTGTGAAGTACCTTTGTAACTTCATGCATCACCTCATCTTTGGCCCATATGCTTGCAACATTTCCTACATAAATATGACAACTTGACCCAACAGCAGTTCCATTTATAGCTCCTCTTGTTCCTAATCCTGCATCCAGAAATTTTATCCTAAGGCAGGCACCCCAAGGGGAACGTCCCTGCATTACCTCCCTAGCTTTTAAAGCGTCCATAATGTTTCTGTACTCAATAGTAGCAAAGCCTTTGAATGGGAGATACCGCAATTGTTCGATAACCCCAAATTTCTCAAACTGATACCTAATAAGCATTTCAGTTGCATCAGGGCCCAATGATCCCACCCACAATTTTTTTGAAGCTGGATATATATCCATGGCAGCTGGGTCTCCATCAGAGTACCATGTTGCATTTGTTGGGGATTCAAATGTTGAACTTGCACTTCCAGCAGAGGGTCTTAAAGAGGGTGAATGGAGGTCGATATTTGCAATCCTCTCCATCTGGGAAGAATGATTTCTAGCATTAAATGAGTTGCTTCTCAAATCCCTTGGTGTTCTTGCTCTAGGTGAGAAAGATTGCCTGTTCAACATCTCCCTTGGTGTTCTTGCTCTAGATGACGAAGAATAACAATCAACACTATCTACTTGTCTGTCTTCAGCCTTGACTTGCTGTACAAAAGATTCAAATATTCCTTCTAGAATAGTAGTAGCACTAGAAACAACTTCAGAAGAAGCAGAATCACAAAGCATCCTGTACCTTGTAAAAATCAAACTTTTGAGCGACGGATCTTTACAGAGAACCTGGAAAACAAAGACCATAGAGACAATGCAGTAAAAAGAAACTCAGACCAGTACAACTGAAATGTGCAATCAGGAAAATAATTTACCATTCAAGTACTAAGAGTGTGTGGCTGGAGGACTTAATTAAACTTCAGATATATTTTGATCTGATACAGAATGCTACAAGCATAAGTGATACCTGTCGAGGGCATCAGAGTTCGACTACCTAAAGTTGTCCAAGCAGTTGCAGTAATTCATGTAGGAAAAGAAAATCAATTCCATCTCACAATATTATCTGGCTATAGAAATTACAAAGCACTTTCACAGCAACATACAAACCATAGACTTCTAAAGACAAAAGCAATAGATATGTCGTGAGTAATTCTCTTTGATGCATCAGCAATCATTCATTGCATATAGTTATAAGGTCATCAACTCTAACAAATGTCAAGCAACTCAAATACATAGGAACCAGCAAGGCATCTGAAGACAACATCACATGCAAGCAAAGCTGATTTGTTAGGTGTAATAATACTATGCCAAGCAAATCAAAAGCTTGGTGTTTGAATTAAACCTTCAGCTAGTTTTCAGCTAGAATAATTCAATGAACATGAAATTAAATTCTCAGAAGAATCAATACTCAGGGCAATAAAATAGGAGAATAATAGCAAATATAGCCAATACCAAAACTTACAAAAAGCTTAGCAACAAACCAAGTTGACAAGTAAAAGAATCGTAAGGTTAAGCATTTACAATTTACCAGTCCCAACAAGCAGTTCTTGGATGCACCACTAGAACAATCTGATCTGCTGGAACGAATGGAAGATTTATCAATGCATCCGTCGTCCAAATGATGAGCACCAACTTTGCTCAGTTCCATTGCCAATTGACGAAGAAAGTAATTTCCTTTCTGAATCCCCTCCATTCCAGTGGCCTCAAAGAGTTCAAAGCCAGCAATAAGAGAATTTTTGGGGCAACTGAAGAAAATCCTCAAGAAACATAGAGCGCGAAACTTGGACAATTTGAGAAACACTGAGTTATCTTCCTCCAAAAACTCACGATTGAAATCAGAGAAGGATTCTGCAATTTCATAAATCTTCAGAACTCTCTGATCAACAATCTCAAAGATATCTTTCCACTCAAAAGAGGATACAAGAAAAGTAAAGACATTGAGGAAAACTGCATAACATATCCCCTGAATAACAGCTGAAGTTGGAGCCTCAGAAGCAGCAGCTTGACAGATATCAACGAGACCTAATATGCAGGTTTTAGCAGTCTCAAATGCAAGACCATCAATGTCTTCCCCCCTGCTTATCATTGCAGAGCACCAGTCGTGAATGTTTACGACAACCTTCACAGCTGCCTCAAGAGCAGTAGGGCAATATGATGCATAGCGTGGAATGAACTCTGCTGCTAGACGCCTTGCACTTACACTACCTGCAATGGCATCATCATATCATAATTCTTGCATGATTAACAAGAACAACACTAACACCATTAATGAGATATCATTCCAGAATGACACAGACCATTTAATTGGTTAGATGCATATTAATTATATTTCTGCATTTGGCACATAATCCAGTTAGATGCTCCCTCAAAGACCGCATGAAGTTAGGGACACATAATAACATGGAGTGAATAATCTCATTACCATGATTACATCAATCAATTGATATCAACTGAAAGTAGGATTTGGAACTTAGAGAACATTTTTCATTTAATTAGCACCTTGGGAGGCAACTGTGCATAATAGCATTTTACTAGTGAGATTCATATTATACAGCTGGGAGTCCCATTTGTAGGCACCACAAACCAAGAACTCACTGTCCTAAGTGATTGCTGGAGTCATTCTCTAAATCACTACAGCAAAATCTCATTAACAATACATAGTTAGATCATAAATACATTAATCAGTATAAATATATGACCTAAGTCTGATGCTATCCCTGTGTGAAAACTTTGTTTGTATGCATTATATTATCGAGGTTAGAGGAGAAGAACTAATCTGAAGGTATCTTGTTCATACAGTCAAGCTACCAGCAGGACCCAACTAGAAGAAACCATAAATCGTTTAGAAAATATGGTCCATCTTAATCAAAATTGCAGCAATGAATATTGTTACTGTGTTTCACTTACAACAATTTTCATCTGTAACTGTCCCTTCTGAAGCCTGATTACATTAGACATGAGAAAATTAAAGCCACGAAATTTTTTTATGTGTCACACTTTACTTGAGCATGATCAATACTGTGACATCAACTATTTATCTACAAAAATGAATCCAGCTCATTCTAACACGTACAATTAAATGCATATGACAAAATATGTTCAGTCGACCACCACTTATCTGGTCTTGGCAGATATCTTCTTGAAATGAAATTTTATCAATCTACAACTTCTGATAACATGTCATAAACTTGGAGTAACTGTACAAAATAGTATCTGCTAATAAAAAATATAAAATAATTTTACCTAATCGATTCAGAACTATTAAGCTAATTTGAGACAGGAGTGAAGTGATACCTTATTACATACCAAAGACATATAGTTATAACTAACATCATTCCTTTATAAAAACTAAAAAAACTGATTTGAAAAGTCCGAATACTTCAAAATGTTAGGCACTCAATATCCCTGTTAAACTTAAAGAGAAATAATCTATTCAAATTACATTGCGCAATTATGTGTTCAGTTTATGGAACTCTCAGTCACAGCTTTAGAGATTGAGATATTAGACAAAAATCTTATTGTGCACAATTGCAGTCACATTTATATCTAAAGAGGACATTCCCCATGTGCACTGAAATCTTCAATTCATGTATTGGTGGCTTTGAATTGTTGGCAAAAGGAGAAGCACTTCTAAGATTCAGTACAGAGGTCCTAGGCTGTACTGACACTTCATAGTTTACCAACAGCGTTAACTAGTAGGCTCTACTTGAGTTGAGCTATCATGAAAGGTCTACTTTTGACAAGTGTTACATTAAGATAATGTAGTGAATGGAAACTTGGTTGATATATGGATCGAATTATACAGCAGCAGCATCTCCCGCTCAGGTAAGAGGGCATAAAAGAAAAATAATGACACCCTACATTTATGAGCTTAAATCTTGATTTCCAGTCCTCGAATGTGTATAGATGCAACCCTCTCTCTCTATCTCCCTCTCCTTCTTTTACTCCCCTCTGTCAACTACTAATCCCCTCACATTGCAGAAAAATTTCTTTCCACCCTACATAGATTACACAACCATCTCAGCAGGTCCAATTAGCGACATGAATACCCACCACCCTCCCTTCCAAAATGGAAATCAAATTCAAGCTCAACTATTGTTCCAGTAAGACCTATATGTTTACAGCATTTAATCCAATTCCTCCCTAAATAGCATACCTTTAAAACAAATAAAAAACTGAAGAGGGAGAAATTTAATTATACAGCAAATCAACACGGAAGAAAAAAAAATAAAAAAATCAGTAACCTCCAGCGGCAGTGATCAGAGAGAGATAGGCTTCTTCTAGCTCGGGCGTGAAACACTTGTCTTTTTTGTCGATGCAGAACTTTATCCTCTTATACCACTTGAAAACATTGCGAATTTCTTCTTGGCACCTGCGCCTCCGGAGAATTTCCTCCTGAGACAAAGGCGGCGGCGTGGACGGCTCCGGAGGCTGTGGCGGTGGTTCTTGTGGCGGAGGAGGAGGCGGAGGCGATGGTGGTGGTGGTGGTGGTGGTGACTGGGGCGGCGGTGGCTGAGGTGGTGCATCGTACAACTTCCGCTTTTTCAGCGGCTGCTCCGCTGCGGCCATGACGAGGAGAGAGGGCAATTGACAGGCGCGAGTCCCTGCGACAGGTTATTCGCAGCTTTTATTATTTATTTATTAATTATTTTTGCACCCCCATTGTTTTCGGATCAATTTCAGTTCACCCCTCGTAATATTGTTTATTATGTCCACTTTCCCAACTAAAATCTTATCATAAATCTGTGCTCATTTGTTAAGTCGGATAGGATGAGATTGAGGCCCGCTCGATTGGTTGCGGCCGGCAATGAGAATTGGTGTTGCACGTTTCCAGGACAAAGTCCTCCAGGATTAGGGTGCACAAAGTTTGGTTAATCGAAATCGAAAATTCAGTTTAGACCGAAACTGAAACTAAATATTTGGTTCGATTTTCGATTTATATTTTCCTAAATTTTTTGATTTCGATTCAGTTTGGATAATTGTGATCGGTTAACCGAACCGAACCGAAAACCGAGTTATACACATATATGTGCATGTTTTAATTTATACATATAAGTTAGAAAAGCATTAATTTGATTAAATGATTGATGATTTTTAATCTTCAATGACCCCTAAAATAATCCATGAATTAATTTGCACTCAAGATTGGCTTCGTCATAGTTCAAGTTCTAAATAATTTCACCAAAACAAACTGAAATGCATAACAAAAAATCAACATTCATGAAAGTCTCGGATGTCATTTTAAATGTATTTATGTTCCTGTTTTTTTCCCTCTTTTATATCAATTTCAAAAATATAAAAAGGCTTCAATTTTCTCATCATATGTTGTTTTGTAATTAGAATCAAATTTTTAATTTGCTTTTAATTAAACAAGTCTGATCAGCTTTGATATATTGGAAGAAGGTACTGTGTGGGAAGAAGCTGTGAAAGGCTTAATTTATTGACACTAGTTAATTACTGTTCTTGGACTTATAATTTTTAGACTTTGTGGGCTTTGTGAGGAAAAATGGGCCTGGTAGTGGTGTGTGTGGGTGGGCAACTAAAAATCATGGGCTTAATTAATTAGAAAAATGAGTCTGGTGGTTGTGTGCATGGGATATGGTTCGTGGGTGGGTAGCTAAAAAACATGGGCTTCATTAATTAATATATGGGCTTTTCATAAGTATATGAATAGTGTCGGTTTTCGGTTCGGATAACCAAACACTTTTATCCAAACCGAACCGAAAATCAAAATTTTAAAAAAATAGAAACCGAAAACCGAATCAAAGATTCGGTTTCGGTTTCGGTCCAAACCGAATTTTCTGTTTCGGTCGGTTAACCAAATTATGCACACCCCTAAAGCAAGTTTTTCGCGAAGTTTTAAAAAAGAGATTATACTAGAGTGTCCTCGAGTTTTCCAAATGTTACTTGAGAAATTTAGACGTTTTCAAAATATAAGAAGAGGGGCTCTACATACATATATCTGAATCTCATGTGGATTAGGTGTCTACAACCCAACAATGAAAATTACAACCAAAAATTCCCGAATATGACTTATATTTTTCATATGCTCCTAAAAAACTCATTGAGATACAATTTCCGACCATCTCCGGGACATACACGATTGTGAGTTCGTCACTTTATCTTATGTTAGCAGTAAAACAAAATCAGAAATCAGGCTGTCGGACTTTCTTTTCCAAGCTTCTTGTCGTCAGCTTGCAATATATGGCTCCTCAGGCTACACTCAGTCACCTGGCATTTGAACTTCCGTTAGTATATTCGGACACTAGTCAAGACAATGGAGAGCTGGCAGAAAAAAAGACAGTGAAGAGACTGCTGAGAAGTACAAAATATTATGTAAACCGAAGGTCTCCAAATTTACCTGCATGGGTATGAATGTTCTCGAAAACAAATCTCTGTATTCCTCAAGCAAACAATGCTCCTGAGCACTTAATTTACTCAGTTCAGAAACCAGTAAGCTCATCTGCTCCATCTGTTGATGCAATGAAAGGTAATTCCAGTAAGTGTGCGAACATAAGATATATATACTTTCTCGTTGCTCTCTTCAGGAATATAAGGATCCAAAAAATTGAAACAATTAGCATGTTAACTTTCATATTCTTTATTATAGCTATCAATGGCTCAACTCAACGAAGTATCTAACAAAAATACCGAATAATGGGTATGGTCAAAATAAGTTGCTCAGGTTCGTTATTCAGCATGCCAAACATTCGGCTCGTTTTCCTTGTTTTCTTTTACAGATTTATCCCCTTATGAAATATGATACTTCCAATTATTCAACTAAAGTAAGGTAGAATCAAATACACTGTTTTGGTTCAGTCATTCTATTAAAAATGAAATACCTTCACTAGCAAAGAGCAAACTGAAGATGCCATGGCTTGCATCACGTCAACAGCTGAAGTTATTGCTTCTTGCACCTTAAGAACTTCAGCCTGAAATTGTTAAAAGACAAGCGAATGAAAAAACACTATAACTTATTATAGTTCAACAAAAGATGAATCGATAATCCAAGTGGCACTAAATAAATGTATCATGCATGAGGAGAAAAACCAACATACTCTTGCCCCACAAACAACAGGAAGATGAATAGTGCTAGCTTCCAAAGCTTTAATAGCATCAGAGACTGACTTGTGGTGATCCTGATCCAGCAGACTCCAGTTTTCCAAATGTGGCTCCTGTATTCAACAAATAATGTTAAAGATCAGTTTTTGACAGACACGAAGAAAGTCTATGAGAGGTCATAAGAGGAGACTAAAGGCCTTACTTGTTTCTTCAGTATAGAATAAAGTTTGTGACTATGTCTCAGCAATTGCAACTCAATTTGTTTGGAGATAACCGAATGTCGCAATTCAAAGGTAGTCATCCAAGCATCATAGAGGCTTCTCTGGAGAAGAAAAAAGTTGACAGCAGATATGAAAATAGTTACATTTTAAATGGTAAACCAAAGAACCCAACCGGTAGCCTATTAATGATATGTAGGAATGAACTATGTTTTTACAATCTAGAGATTAAGTAAATGACATGGTGACATCAATCATAATCACAGAAAACAAGATGCTTATGCAAAAATAATTGGTCTTTAAAGACTTGTGATGTTATTGATCAACCATCACGCATCTAGTTAAGAATAAATATGTTTATAAATCCCAAACGCAAAATATACTCCTGCATTATTTTCACACTCAGGCCAACTAATAACATAAGAGGAACTTTCAATTAATTAAAAAATAGAGCTTCATATTTTATCAACTATTCCAGAGCTGAGTGAGTTGTTCCTTAACAACTCATCATACCTCAGTTGTTTTCTCCTCAGAATCAGATAAATGTAATCAGTGATAATAAATCATTTCAGTTCTTATTTTCCTTGAAAATCACCTAGTTGACCCGTTAGGTGCTCATATTCACTTGCAATATCACAATCAAATACACAGGGAACTTGTGAACATACCTAGCCATTGTGCCCATACAAAAGTAAAATTTACAACTCACAACAAATGTCATACATGTGCTTGACAATTGACATGATTACTGCATGGATTAATGGAGTTTTCTCAAACTATATATCTTCCTTTTTTATTTAAATATATCGGATGTGTAATAAATCTTATATTATCATGACCCTGCACATTAAATTGCCATGAACTACTTGTCAGAAAGCAAATAATTAATGTTAGATTTCGTAACAGTAAAAGTCATCTAATACTACAAATTAGCTTCCATCTTATTATTCTATTTCCTGTTGCTTCTGGATTACTTACTACACTCCGCCCTCATGTGTACTAAACTATGACAGAAAATGGGAATACTAATTTTCAGGCAAGTAATAACATTTAACAATGTAGATTGGCTTTCATACATAGTCCTTTCTTTCCCTCTCTGACAAATGTTTTAAGCTGTATCATAATAGTAATGTCCATTACAAACTGCTTGAAATATAATATTTTGTATAACCCTTTGAGCATTTCGGCATTTTAATATATCAATATCAGGAGATCATAGACCTTGAAGAATCTATTAGGCAGACAGTATGAATATGATAAACTATTTTAATTGAAGCAACAAGCAGTTCTAATCTTTGCACAAATACAGAACATTAATTAACCCCAAAACAGTGCCATCCCTTTTACCCACCCTCCCATCAATAAACACACACATACACACACACACACACACACAGAGAGAGAGAGAGAGATCTAAAGCAATTAACTCCTGTTTTACTAGTAGGCTACTTTAAACTACTTTATAATTCTGAAGTACACCTTTGCTGGTTCAATTTAAGCATTAGTTTCCAAAGGAACCGACTCTGTCGTTGCCAATAAGATCTAGTTCTTGATTATATTTACTCAAACAGTAATGTAGCTCAACTCTCCTTAACTCTAATCAAAACATCAAGCCAACAGACCAAAACCTTGAATAGGGTACCCAGCATATAATAAAAATAATTTGAACCAATAATAATCTTCTCAAACTTGCTTTTACCTAACCACAACGTTGGGGGCAAACTAGTACCTCTGCCGTGTATCTTTGCACCATCATGGTATTCTCGGCCTTTGCATTTGCTAACCTCCACTGCAAAAGCCGATTATAGAGTAGCATCAACTCGCGTGCATCCGCTGTTCGGTTCTCTCCCAACTTCCCTCTCCTAACATCAGTGGCATAGCTTAATGCAGATGGCATGCAGCACGTCTTATCACCATTCATCGAACTCCCTGTTTTGCTTCTAACCCTTGATGGACTAACAATACCCCTCAAAACAGCACCACTTGATGAACTCAAGGCCCTGCATGGGGAAGCCGCTCTTACACTTGTTCGAACAGGTGATAATCCCCAAGAGGGGTAAACTTCTCGAGGGGAAGATACAGGACTGTTATTTGAAAATTTCTTCTGCAGAGTGAATTTTGAAGGACCTAATGTTCCATTTGACAAAGGTGAAGCGGGTTCTGGTGCTTTATGTACCCTTTTACCCAGTTGAATTGTGTGTATACTCCCAACATCTGAATTCAACGGCTTCTGTAATCTCTGTCCTTTTCCAACCTCACTTGTTCCTCGAGTCTCTTCAATGTCATTCTTAAGCTTCAATTCAGTAACAGACTTCCTCAGCTCCCGGAGAACAGACCCTGATCCACTCAATTTCGCTTTCTCTGAACCGTGATCCAAACTCCGGGCCAACAAACTCGAATTCTCCACACGTAATCTTCCTGGCCAGCGAAGTTGCTGAAGTTGTTGCTGGCCAGTCGGCTTGGAATTCTCCCTATTCTTCTCTCCACAATCTACCGCGGGCGTCGTTATCCCCAATTTCCTCCTCTCCGGGGTAGCTTTTCTCAGACCTACCAAAGCTTCAGCCACCGCCGCCGTGGGAGGCGGCTTCACCTTACTCGCCGTCAACACGCACGATTCCCCCTGAAACGAGACAGAGAGGCTCCGCGCCGGCGTCACCAACATCTTCTCCGCGCTGGACAGCGGCGAACGGCGTCTCTCGGCGGACACCGCGCGCTGTTGGCTCCTGGGGGTGGTGGTTGCGGTCCTGCACCCGAGTATCGGAGACTGAGACCTTATGGAGGAAATTGATGGCCCGGATTTCACGGAGGACGAGGTCGTGGATGTTGAGGAAGAAGACGCGGAGGAGGAGGTCGAGAGGGACAAGTAGCGGGAGGTGATTTCGCGGGCTTTGGGTCGGCGAGGATGCACATTGCCGGGATCAGAGGGAAGCAACACAGGCCGCCTGCCGTTCTGCGGCGGCTGCTGGGTGGGGGTGGACGCGACGGCGGTTACCATTTTTACACTGTCAAATCCCTACTACCAGCTTAATTCAGGTTATCGTGTGTGTGAGTTTGTGTGTGCTGCGTGAGAGAGAGAGAGAGAATACATAACCGTTACGAATCCGGCAAATATATGGTGGTGGGTGGGGTGGGTGGGTAACGATTCTTCGCATTTATAGTGTATATAAAAATTATTTAAAATTAGTTTCATAAGAACTGTATTTTGAATTTTGGGTTAAAAAACAAAAAGAGGTGAGCAACCATGTCGTAGGTACAAAACCACACCAAACTGTAAAAATCGAACTTAGCCATATAAATGGCCGAACCCACAATTTCAGGAAAAATTGAGAAATTATTTTATATTAAAATAATTGAATCGAACCACACCAAAACGTACGGCTCGACCTAGTTTGATTTTATCTCAATTTTCCTACATATTTTATTTAATTGGGTGCTGGTCAGTGCAAAACTGCACCAAACTTAACAAAATTAAAAACCGGACTTATGAATAATAATAATAAACGCAACACACCGTAGTCTACCACGTCGAATTACACGATTCCGCTCGATTTTTAGGTTTCAACTCAATTTTGCTCACCCTAATGCCAAGGGAATTTTAATTGGGACTGAGATTCGTATTTCATTTCATTCTGCTGTGAAGAAGGCCGGCCAATTCATATATTTTTTTCAATATATAATTTACTGTAGTTAGATTATATTGATAATGTCTGTTGTTAAAATAAACTTTTGGTATGCTCAGTTGGACATTGTCCAACAAAAAAAGTATTGGCTCATGATAAACTTAACACTATAACTTGCCAAAAATATATATATAAAAAAATTACACTAATAGNATTATGGTGTCATTCGGCATTTGTATAGTGAGATGACCCAATATTATATTCACCTCGTGAAGTCGGTCATAACCATAAAATTTCAATCTAATTAGAGTTCATTTTTTTCACTCAATTTTGTTTTATAGTAATCTGAGTTGTTATCTGTCCGACCTAATATCGATTCCTTTAAGCGTCCATTTTACTTGATTGACCTACCGTTCGATTTATCTCTCTGAGATGGTCATACCCACAAAATGTTAACATAATCATACTTATTTTTCCACCCAATTGTCCATCGAAGTGATTTGGGACCAATTTTGTTGATCTCTTTGTGAGGGTTGTTCTAGTGTCATCTAGTGTTTGTTTTAGTCATTCAACATGGTTGTACTCATAAAATTGCAGTACAAACGTACTTCATTTGCTCACATAGTTTTCCGTTCAAAATAACTTAGTTGTTTTATACCTAACCTAATTTTGGTGTCATCTGACGTTCGTTTTAATCGATTGACCCGCATTTGGTCTCGTCCCATCGAGATGTCCGTTTCTATAAAATTTCTGCCAAATTAAAGCTCATTTATCCAATCATTTATCCAATTAATTTTTCGTTCAAAGTTGCACGGACTATAGCCAACTTGATGTTTTCTCACAAAATCTGTTGTACAGATTGGTTTGTAAATAAACCAAGTTATTTATGAAGGATTTCAACCTTGTCTGGGTTAATGCTTGCCCGAGCTCATTTTAAATAGGGTGTGAAAGTAACTGAGCCATATACGAGCTTGTACGTTTCTATGAATTGTATAAATAAAAATTAACATTTTAAAAAAAAAAATGTGTAGTATGCACTACATTAATTAAAAAATAAATACTTTTATCAGAAGTTATCTATGATAGCACTTTATATTTATATTTTAAATAACATAATAACATTTAGTTCTTATATAATATATTTAAATCGCAAAATAATATTTTATAGTATTTATTATAATTTATTTTATGTAATACCATGAAGTTTCTGAACGATTTCAATATCTTATACTATATGTTTGGATTCTAAATACTCTACACAGGGAAAGTGAATTTCATAAAATTCTCAACAGTGAGAATTGAATTCTTGGTTAATAAATAAAAAGGCTTATAAGGTGAGAATTGAATTCTTTTCAAAATTTTAAATGTCTCCTCACAATCGGAGAAATAATTAATTGTAGGCAATGTTTTAAATTTTAAAATGAAGTCCATTATGAAAGACTCATAATTATACTGTTTTGAAATATCAATATGCCAAGGATACAAAATTAGTACAGCCATTGTAGTTATGAATTACTGACTGAAAATATTATTGTTCGTGTGGCATCACAATTCTTCTTCCATAGTAAAAAGAAAAACTGAAAAAATTGGAATCGGAAGCTGTAGGCACAAATGTTGTAGAAAACCAAAAAAAGACATTTTTCGTTAAGTTAATTTTAGAGCACCACAATGCATTGGGTCTAATTTTATATCTCTCTTATTCTTATAAGAGAAAATGCATTCACTTTGTTGTGGCGCCACGTGGCTCATTTCCTGCATTCTATTTCTTATAAGAGAAAATACATTCACTTTGTTGTGGCGCCACGTAGCTCATTTCCTACGTTCTATTTCATTCAATGACCAAAAGCCCCTCATTTTTTTGTGACATCTTCTAGGCAAAACGACACCGTTTTGTCTTTGCTTAATTATTAAGCAAAAGACTTTTCTCAACATATCTTCTCAAAATGAAATCCCCGCTACTCATTCACTCTTCACACACAGAAAAAACCCTCGCTCCTCATTTATTCTTCACACACAAAAAAATGGATTTGATGAGGTGACGAAAGTCGTGGGCGAAAAATTGAACGGATTTCTGATTGCCGTCGTGAACTTCACCGACGAGGCTCTTGCCTGGTTCGATGGCCTGATTTGTTTCCCGTAAATTGGGACCGACTCTGCCTAAAGGTAATTGTGGTTTGTTGTATTCATTGTTGGTTTGTGCTATCGTTTTACAGGCCTAATTTAAAATACTTCTTTTTTGCTATCCAAACTTATCAAAAGCTAAAAAACCCTAGCTGCGGCGGCGGAGGCGACGGACGACGGTCGACCGACGGTGATGGCGATGTAAAACTTGATTTGTTATCATATTTATTACCAGGAAGGATATTCTGTTTTGTTGCATTTTATGAATTTACTTTACAAGCTCTCGCATTAATCATGCCAACATGAAAAATATAATCATAACTGTGAAACTTTTAGGGGTGAATTACTAACTTAAATATGCTTATTTTCAGGTGTACTGATGTGTATATATGTTTTTTATGTACAGGTTGAAGGATCACATTTTAGGGATCTTTTTTGGACAGATTATATTGATTTTGTGGCAGAGCATTTGTTGGCATCAATTTAACATTTTTTAGAATTGTAATTAAGGTTGTGATTTCATGTTGGTGCTATATTTTTCTCCTCAGTTACTGCAACAAAGAATTTTGGCTTCTTTTTCTACGATATGGATTTTTTCAATTGTTCTTTTACTGCTTTGAGAATATCATGGCTTGCACTGATCAAAAAGAAAATAACAGAATCACAATTTGTCTAATATTTTTTTATCAAGATGACAATGCTTAGTGCAACTAATTTTACTCTTGTTTTCCAGTCAATTTTCGAGGCAAATTATAATAATAATACGAACACGAATAAAAACTCCAACGTGAGTCAAAATGGAGACTACAGAAATTCATAAAACAAACCAGGAAAAATAGAAACCCCTTTCATGTGTTCTTCCTCCAGCTCCCACTGCCTCTCCTTACTTCTCCACCACATGTCAGTGGTCTTTGGCAGAGAGGAGAAGCCTTGGATACCAAAATCGAATGCCCCAAGGTTGTACCTACAGTATGAATAGGCAGAAGCCCGCCGTCAATATGTCTCGACCTTCGGGAAAATTGAAAATCTGTATTCACATGTTGTTCGTGGTTCTTTATATAAGTATATTTGCTAGGTAACTGGTAGTACTTCTCAAGTCGCGGTTTTAAAAGATAGGGAGAAAGTTCGAACTGAGAACAAAGTCATGACATGTATGCTATGCTCAGAGTAACTTTGCAATGATAATAAATCTCTTATATAGAACATCACATGGAAATATTATTACAAAATATAAGACATGATTATAATCATTAAGTTATAATTAAATAAAAGCGGATTTGGGCCGGCTGTGCTGTGCACAGCCGAAGTCAAACTAGTATATGATATATAAATGGATTTCAGTCCTAAATGATATGGATACACTCAAATAAAAAAATCCAAAAACTATCCAGTGCAAAATAAAATATTAGGTCTAGAATATTTGTCGACCAATAAAAATGTTCTATTATGTTTTCTATATTAAAAAAACAAATTAAATTAGTTCAGGTTCGTACTTGGGTCCAAAATAGACCAAAGTGTAGACTTGGTCTCACTTTTTGATTATTACATAAGTTAGATCATGTCCAATTTTAATTACATTGAGAAATATTTTTTATAGACTAAATCTATTTCCTATGTGGCATGTGATATTTTATTAAGAGATACAAAACATCGTGGGTGCTCTTAGGATTAAAATATGAAACTTTGTTTATTTTTTGAAAGGGAAAATTATGTTACCTAGCAAAAATTACCGCTTTATAAAATGGAAAAATCTTCTCCCACTCTCTCCTCGACTAGAAGGAAAAAAATTCCCTAAATTTTAACCTAGCCGTCGGCCGTCTCTGTACCAGTGCCTCTCCATCGTCCGACGTCCCTCTGCCCGTTGGCGTCGTCCGGCGCCAAGGCCGGCTCCAGGCTGGCCGCGATTTCCCAGGCGAGTTTAAGTTCTTCCGTCTTCAAGTGGTGTTTCTGTCGAGCTTCTACTGGCCATGGGGGAGGAGGGGGTTGTCGGCCCGCCGCCGAGCTCGTGGTGGCGGGCGCTTCACCTATCTTGCGGGGGTCGGTGCTGAGGTTGTTTGCCTTGCTCTTCCTCTTTTCCAGCCTCTCCTTGGTGTTGGGAGGGCGGATTCATCCGGTGGTGGCAGTGTGGCAGTGCTGCAACTCCTGGTTTTTGCGTGGGGAGGGTTGTGGCGGTGGTCTCCTGGAGTCGACTCTGCGGCTACTGTTGGGAGTGCTTCTAATCTGTTGGTCAGGATCTAGTTATTTGTAGGGGGAGTTTATAGGTTCTGTGTGTTGGGCCGCGGACCATATTGCTGTCTTTGGTTGTTCGGGTTTGGGTGCTGGTTCGTGTGGAGGTGGTCCGGGGCTGCTTTCTTGATGTTGGAGAGAGTTTTAGTCTAGATATTAGGTTATGTTTGTGTTTTTTTATGTGATTTATGTGTTTTGTTTTTTTCTGTGTTTTGTTCTCATGTCGAGTTGGGCCTATCATGCGCGCAAGAGATTGGCTCGACGGGCTGCTAAGGCAAGCGAGACAGCTGCGTGCATGGACGCAGGTGCAGCAGACCCGCTGGACGCGGGCGCAGCAGGCGGGGCGCGGGACACGCAGGGCACGCAGCACGACCTTCTCGAGCGCGCATAGGCAACATGCATGCCGGGCGCGACCAGGACGCGCGTGCAGGGGCAGCGCGAGTTTGACTTGACGACCAAGAAACCGACATTTCTAGAAGGCTTTTTGAGCTGAATCTTTTCTATATTATTCCTGGATATTTCCACATGATTTTAATTGTTTTCCTAGGTTATTTAGGCTTTGAATAAGTTGCGTAATTTTAAGATCCTAAGTTGATTTATTTTCCATAATTTAGGACTACCTCCTATTTTTTTAAATGTCATTTTGGCTTTATCAACAATTAATCAAATAAATGACGTTTTGGATCTTTTGTACATATTTTTCCATTATTACTTTCATCCAGCTAATAAATACACTACGTCTTTTCATATTCACTCTTCATCGTTTCTCAAAACATTCATCTCTATACTCATTAATGACAGTTATTATTGGAAAAAAAAATTCTTAATTACTGTGGAACTTCTCAAAACGCCACTTATTAAAAATAGGAGGGAGTAGTTTATTTCCCATAGGTTTAGTCTAAGTTTTTCCCTTTAAATACTTGATGTTATGCACGTTTTTCAGCATCGATTAAGCAATAAAAATTGAACTTTGTTCACCAATTCCTTGTGTTAAGATTCTTTGAGTTTTTCCACAAAATCCTTGTGTCGAAGAGGCATTTTTCAAATCGTTCGTCACGAGTTTGAGTTAGCAAGGATTCATGTCCAAGGTACCTCATCCACATGCTGAAAAGGAGGTGTCTTAGCACCCTTGAAGCAACTTGTCACCGAGAAGGAGGTGTCCTAGCATCCTTTGACGCAAAACCGAGCATCACGATATACGATCTTCATCATCGGGACAGAGCCAGCGTGTTACTATGTGTATATGTGTGTGTGCTGCTAATGTGTGTGTGTTGTATGTGCGTGTGTGTGGATGTTCTGTGTGTGTCTGCGTGTGTTGTGCGTGTGTGGTACTGTGTGTGTATGTGTGTGTTGTGCATGTGTTGTATGTGTGAGTGTGTTTTGTGGGTGGTGATGTGGCAACCCACTGGGTAGTGGCTAGGGTGAATGGTTAATGATAATGTCTAACTTATCTTCAACGAGTATAAGATTTTGGCTTTTTTTTTTTAGAGTTGTTGGATCATATGGCTAAAATTTATTTTATTTCTTTCATTAAGCATCAATCTCACCGAACACAACTCTATATAGAATATATAGATGTGGATAAATTTTCTCCCTTCCCCTCCTACAATGAATTGAACCAAACATAGTAAAACATTAATATAAATTCTTGATATACTCCGAGTGTCCAAGTTTTTCAAATGTTATTTAGTCATGATAAAAATTCTTCATATATTCAAGTCTCCAAGTTTTCCAATTTACTTAAAATCGGTACCTTAGTGGGTCAAGCTAAAAAAAAGTAACACATAATTTCAAAAGTATAATGGAGGCCGAGAATTGCTAGTATCCCCTTGGGCTTTTCGGCCTTTGATCTCACACATACCCATATGACTGTGTGTATATGTGTGTGTAGATCAAAAGGCTGGGAAGGCATGGGATAGGGACACTGCCCTTAGGGGCAACATCGGAATCTCCATGGAGACCCTAGGCACGAATATCAAGTGAAACAAGAGATTTGATATGGTGCTCCCAACGGTTACACAACCCCAACCAAAAAGGAAATTATTACCCTAAATTTGGTGAAGACCATGAACAAGAAAACAATACAAAGGAAAAAAAAAATACAATGATTTCCACACTTTAGTTTATTAGGGGTATGAATAAATGAAGACATAGCAACACACACTGATATACGAGGTGCTAAACATCATCTTCTTCTCACAAACTAAAATTACTTGTTACATAGAGGCGAAAATCGTCATATGTTTTGATCAGTTTATTTAAAAGAGAGTAAACAAGAAAGTACATTACCCACCGTGCCTTGGAGAAGGACAAGGTTTAGGGATGTAAGGCAATAGAGGAGAACCGTGCATGACAGGTCCCGGTCTAATTGATACCTTTGACCTTGGGACAGGGTCAATAGGCTGATAATCTTCCAATCACTTTTCCTCCATCACCTTCGTCCAGGCCATGGGGATCGTCAATAGAGTGCAAAATGTGGTGAAGAAGAATATCGAAAAAAAAAAAAAATTACAAACCCATGTCACTAATTTGTAATACGTTCTTGATTAAGCATTGTAACGTGAGCTTTCTGCTTTTCACTATCCATGTCACGGCATCATTACCTATTTGGGAAAAAAATAAAGAAATTTTGAGAAAATGTTAAGAGAAACATAATCTATATACCAAATATAATAGAGGAAAGAAAATTTCTACATAAGAGCAATTGAAAATGAAACTGCGGAATTTCCATTTCCTCACAAGAAATGAAATCAAGCATTTTTTGTAACATGAACAAGTGTCATACTAGACACTGAACCAAGAATTCAATTATCAAGAGAAACCAGAATTTTAAAAATATGGTCTAAAAATATATACAGTCTTAACTTAATTACCATGAAGTAAACCACAGTACAATTTGGATATGCCTTTTACAAGCTAAAAATATATAATTGACGAAAAAAAGATAATAATAAACAGAGAAACATAGATAAGCTTAATTTAGATAATAGATACACAACAACTTGCAAATTTGTAAATTTTATTTCTTCAAATTCAGATTGTTCATTAATCTTTTGAAGCAGCCATAATAACACAACAGTACAAATTATCTCCCTTAATAGATAATGACTTCAAGACTGACATTTTCATGGCAATTTTACATTTATGCTGAAAGCCCTATATTCTTCTTTAAGCAAAAAAATCATTAATTCTTTTGGAAGTAAAACAATATTTTTTTTCTCAGATGAAAAAGAGTGAGAAAAAAAAAAGATGAAGAACACAATGAAATTTTACCTGTATTAAAACCGGCGCCTCCTTTGCTGGAGTACATAAAAGCAGTTGTCTCTAATAGCAAGAATAAGCACAAGAGTCCAAAAGCCTTCATAACTTTTTAAAGGGCCAACATAAAACCTTTTCTCTTTTACACTTTTTTAGTCAAGACTGTAGTAGAGAAAGTAATGCCAAAAAGTAAGACATAAATTGAACCGGTGACCTTCAAAATAAAATTAAACTTCAAATCAAAGAAAATATTTTTTAATAAAAAAAACAACCCACTTAAATAACAAACTTAACCCATCAATAAAGTCTATTTTTTCCCTTTATACCCAAAATTGCGCATAGATAAAGGAGAAGAATAGCCTTCGTGTCAACCCTCAAACGGAAAAGATATATATTCAGAAAGTAAAATAAGAAAGAAAAAATGAAATGAAATGTTGAAAGGCATATCTTGTAGTGATGAGTCATGATGGGTGATCATATGGGTTTCATTATCACGGCCATTGTTGGCGCCTCAGGAGATTTAATGTTCATTATTTTATTAGCTTCTGGTTTTCCTGCTTTTCTTTTCCTTTGCTTTTGGGTCTGAAGAAAATGCAGAGCACAGAGGAGGAATAAATTGCAAGAATTAAATGTTGGAGCGCGGTGGATATCAAGCCTTTGAGAGGTTTGGCTTTCGATAACGACAAAAACACAAAAAAATTATCCTTATGTCTAATGTATTGGTATCTTTAAGTTTATTGAATTGAATTTTGATACTTTCAATTAGTGGATGTGAGATTATTAAATATCTAGCTATTAAATTAGATCAAAACATATTGGAAAATTTATGTCTTATGAGAAAATTCAATGATATCATATGTTAGTTAGTCGACTTGAATTATGGATCTCTGAAAAGTTCACGGTGAAGTTCATGCATGAATCACCAAGGTAGAAACTATATCGTTGAACTTCCCGATGATCCAAAATTCAGGCAAAGTTTATGCACATGAATCACCGAGGTACAAACTATATCGTTGAACTTCCTCATGATCCAAAATTCCGATCAACGAGCTTGGATTTTGAAAGTTCTGCTTCTAAAATGTACTTTTGAATAAAAAAATTGGTTTTGATCAGACGATAGCCAATGTTAGTGAAATGAACTTCACTCAGGCTCCTTCAACTTGGACGGCCTTCGTAAACTGCAAGAATTTAATTCCGTGAGGAGTCCCGGCGTCGAGCCTCTGATACCTAAGTCAACACTCGCCAGAGATAAAGTGCAATACGAGAGTCGAGAAACTCTCATGGACCCATCCTTTCTAGTTTTAGGCCAAGTCGAGAAACTCTCATGGACGTTCTTGTCCATCACTTCTAAAACTCGAGCCTAGTTAACTGAAAATGGCATATATTTCTTATATCTCCGCCCGCCCTTAAAAGATCTGCCTTCCCACCAGCCTGACCTCCTCCTATCTTTCATATCTCTCATAGGACTATGTATTTTC